TGTCTTCTTTGTGGTGAAAGTCAAAACAACAAAATAATATATATATATATATTACTTTTATAATATTTACTGACAGTCAATCACTTTCCAGGCCTACTATAGATTTTAACATACGGCATAAGTATTATTGAAATATTAGTCTCTATCCAGTATCATGCATTACAAAAGCCTAGTCATAGTCCTATAAAAATAATTTTGTAAACTAAGCTTAGCTGAATGGGACGTGGTGGTGGGAGGAGTGTATTAGTTCTCTAATCTGGAAAGAATTGTGTAGGCTGCTTTTTATGAAGTCAATAAACAGGATATTAGTAGGCCTAACTGGTCAATAGGGACGTAGATCTAGAGAATATATAGGCCTATAAATAAGCCTATACTATAGGCTATATGTTATTTCGCGACTTTAAAAATTATGATTTATACATGACAGTTTGGGCTTCTTTAATAATTATGATTGGGCATGTTTGAGCCCGAAAATAGAAATTAAGTACACAAGATCATATATAATTTCAAAAAACCATAGCAATTAAAAACGTTAGCCATCGCTGATGCACCATGACATTAGGACCTAGATCTAATATCGCTCACCTCTCAATACACTCTGCTTTTCTGCCTTTTGTTTTGACCCCTCTTTGCTTTAGTTCTTTTCTGATTTCAGATAGAGTCCATGCTTCGTTTTTACCAGACATTTGCAAAAAATAAACTCTAAATTAGCGGAAAAAGGGGTTTCTAATATTCCGAATCATACGATCGGCAACCTGTATACATGCATTAATTTAGCAGACGATAGAGATGGGGGACCGCATCAATATTAGTGCCGCCTAGTGAGCACTTTCTGCAGGGAACCTTGTAATACACACACTCTCGTTTCAAGCAGTTTCTATAGCACGCTGCTCACAAATTACTTAGGCATAACTTTCATCGTTTCCTTTTATACTCACGCTCACACTGTTACTTACAGGTAAAATGACTTAGAATTTAAATCCAAAATTGTAAGATTATACATACATTTCTCAAACTTTCTTCAACCTATCCTAGAATATTTGAGAAGTGATTAATACAGAATCACCCAATTGTAGAAAATCGATTCACTGCAAGAAGGTTAGAAAAAGTCCTCCGGTGGGGCAGTGGTAAGTTTCTGGAAATACAACACTAAAATCCGGCGCTCAGTTCCCGCGGTGGACAGACAGATTGCAGATAGCCCACTGTGTAGCTTTGCGCAATAATAAGAAACGTTTACAAAAACCATGAAAATGCAAAACATTTTAGCATGGAGTTTTTCATTTTTATACATCCAGTTCCATATATAATTCTGAAATAACATTTTACGTATAAATATATACCGATTACTGAGTTACAGAAAAGTTCGCACCTACCGGCTATTTGAATAACGTAAGTAGTTTAAAATATTGTTATCTAATCGAGATTGTTTCTAATATACCCGGTGACAGACAAAGTCTCAACATAGTATTTTAAAATACAAAACGTGATTTCATGCAACTCTTGTAGTGCAATGTGTACAAAAGATAGGGTGACCAAATTTCCAAACCAAAAATCAGGACAGCCCAGCTCTTGCCTGTAATTTCAAAATGATTATTAGAAATGTGAAATAATTCAACTCTTATTTAATTTATTTAATATTTTTTAAATATTTAAAATTATTGAATTTTACCACAATATACTAACATTGGCATTGTTTTTGAAATAATTTCAACTATCTTTTTTCTTGGTGATAGACACAAAACAAATGAGCACAAATAGTCAAATTATACATCTAAGAAATTTTTAATTATTCACTTTATCCAAGTCATCTTAATATATGCTACTTCATAGTCGGATTTATTTAAGAATCTATAACATTTTCAAACATACTTCTTTTAGGTTAAACTTTTAACATTATCTTGAATTTGTTCACATATTTTCGTGAAGAATGAATTTAACGTAGAAGTTCTGTTGTTTTTTTTTCAATAAATAGTCACAAAATTTAGTACATGACTATATAAAGTTTGTTTTGACCATGAGCGCTGCCTTCACTGTTTCTACATTCAGACCTGGGTTTTAAACCAAGCACAGACGGAAATTTAAAGAGAGTTTGGCGGCAGGAGAGTACGTGTTGCAATAATGAGCAAGTCAAGTAGGCCCATTACATTTGTGATTCGATGTGACTGAGAGTTTGATATCTTATCATAAAACTGAGACGTTCTGTGCGTCCCGAGAGCATTTTTCGGGACACAGGGACTAAATACAAAAAAGAAAAAAAAAGGGACTGTCCCGGCAAAACCGGGGCGTCTGGTTACCCTAACGAAATACCATGAAACATATAACAATAAGATGGCAAACAATGATTTATAAGTACATATGAAGAATTATTTTGGGGGGTGACATACTACATGTTTCGACAGGACATTGATCTTTGTATTTTATGTTGAAAATGAGTGAATATTATTTGGTCAGTTATTTATGCTTGGTGCTGTGACAAGCAAAAAATATAATAAGATACTCATTATGTCACCACGGTATGTAAACAAGCCGGTAGTTTGAGGATTAATATCCATGCTGGGACGAAATGAAACATGTACATCCCAAATATTTGTTTTTAAATTCAATTCATAAGGGACTGAAAAACAATATTAAGTATTCCGCTGTGTAAATATATATATGTTTTATCAAGAGCTTCTTTACCGAAAGGGTCCAGATCTGAGATATATTTTAAGACTCTTAAATTACAAGCTATGACACAAGCGTTGCATTAGTTTGTTAAATTGTTTTCTTGCCAGTCAGTGTGAAGAATACTTCGGACAACATTCAAACATTCTAATATTTAGTGATTAAACTTCATCCAACATTTTTATCATAACATTAATTTATTAGTGATCGAAACTCATTCACAGTCTTTACTTAAAAACATTAACATCTTAGTGATCAAAACAGACCCACAGTCTTTACTCATGCATTAACATCTTAGTGATCAAAACAGGCCCACAGTCTTTACCCAAACATTAACATCTTAGTGATCAAAACAGGCCCACAGTCTTTACCCAAACATTAACATCTTAGTGATCAAAACAGGCCCACAGTCTTTACCCAAACATTAACATCTTAGTGATCAAAACAGGCCTACAGTCTTTACCCAAACAATAACATCTTAGTGATCCAAACAGGCCCAAAGTCTTTACCCAAACATTAACATCTTAGTGATCAAAACAGGCCCACAGTCTTTACCGAAACATTAACATCTTAGTGATCAAAACAGGCCCACAGTCTTTACCCAAACATTAGCATATTAATGATCGAACTCATCCATAG